ACCTCGAACTAGAGAACCACAGCATGACCACATTCGGAAACGTTTTATTCTTTTTAACGCAGGAACACTTCAGTCAAATCGAAGGGATTGGACGTTCATTTCCAATTCTTGCGTTTTTTACGTGACCAGGGGGATTCAGTTGCGCATAGGTGGTGTATACGAACACCAAGATAATTCTCCACTTGTCATTCGATCGACTGTAGTGAATATATGTCTTTTTTCCTGAAATGGTGAAAAAGTACATGGGAAATGTCTTGGAAATGGAGCAACTCAACAACGGCTTTTTAAAAACCGATAGAAACGAATGCACAAAAAGGTTAGCAACTCTCTCAACGTATTTGCTCTTCTCCAGCAAATATGGACTTTTTCACATTTATACATAATAATTGTGTACTGCAACGGATCTGGTCAAAATAGCAACAAATTCGTTTTAAACCACAAAAAATAGGAAATTGACTCACGGGGTTCTAACAGTTGGGTCCCAACTGAAACTTGTCCATGAACGAGTGCGATCACTTGGAAGTTGTCGACAGCCATGAGGAGCACACGATTGGGAGCGGCACTGATGGTCGGGATTGTCTTGGCCCACACCGCGCGCGCTGGACCATTGGCGTATGCGATGTGCCAAACGGGATGCAACGCTCTGGTTGTGGCGTGCTACGGAGCTGCGGGGTTGACGTTTGGCACCGTGACAGCAGGAGTTGGCGCTCCTGCCGCTGCCCTTCTCTGTAATGCTGGGCTGGGAACGTGTATGGCAGCGTGTGTTGCGGCCGGATGTGCTCCAACGCCCTGAGCAACGGCGCGAAAACAACTCTTAACCCACGTCGATTCGATTTATGCAAACCAACAAGGTGTTTTTGTGTATTACTTGACTGTCCAAGGAGAGCGGTCTGCTGTGCACAAATCACGCGAGCAACGAGACTTGGAGTCCGGGTTGTTTGGCGAGGGTGCTTCTCGGCACAAGTGCACATGGTGCCGTTCCTTGGAGGCTAGTTGGAGAGGGGGGTTGTGTGTGGGTTTGGTTTCAACGAGTACGAAAAAATGCGACGAAGGTCTTTGCAAGCGAGGGAAGGGCCCACGGGGCTCGCCTGGCTTCGTCCCGCCGCCTGGATGCGATGTCTCGAGGTGTACCCCATGCCAACCCTTTGACGATGTCTGCTGCCCTTTGCTAGTCGCGATTCGTTTTCACGTCAATGTTAATACACGTATTGAAACCACCGCCCGAGTTCGCCCATGTACGCGGTCGAGTTCACGACCGCACCAGTGGTCGCGTCGAACGCAATGCACGCCATGGTGGCATTCCACTCGACGCCGCCGTCGGAGCTCAGTCCTCGGCAGAACGAACAAGCCCTGTCGCAAAAACCAGTTGGGGCAGCAAATTGTCATTTTCGCTTTGACGTGGTTTCGGCCGATGGTGGTGCATGCGTACTTGACGAGTGTTTTCCCCCGAAGAGCTATTGGGGTGGGCCTTCTTGCCGGGTTTACGTTCACGGGTGCCATGTGGGCTGCCCTCCGATACACCGGTGACCCGCCTTTGTTTTGTCCGTGCTGACTGCGTCGTTTGGAATTGTAGGGCGGGATTATGGTGGGGCAGCACCTGGTGAACCCCGGACGACGTCGGCAGAATGGCAGGCGGCTACCCATGACTACATGGTTGAACAGAAGATGAACCCCATGGGCGAATATCGGAAATAGCCAAGCGAAGCTCATCCCATGGTCGACCATCAGGACGCCACCTAACACGGATGTATATGTCACGCGAGGTGGTAGAGTGGTTAAGGTTGTCGGACGGCCCTGTGATTGCACGTGCTACCCAGGGAAAGGCAGCTAGATCTTCCACCAAGTAGACTCCAAGTTCGCATCCCTTTCGACCTCATGCTTTACGCCAAACGGAATCAAATCCGAGGATAGGATCTGCGTCAAAGGTCGAGTCACGGGAAGGGCGTCCTTGGAGGGAGGGCTGCGAGCCGTGTGTGGTTAGTGTCTTGGGGCTGGCAAGCTGTAACAATGGTTGATGCAGCCTGCCCATGCATCAGTTTGCCTATGGGGCCAGATTCGGCACAGGATTGAATGATGACCCAAAGCACACATCGACCGGAATGTTGGGTCCCTTGATCTGTTTGGGCTGAATGAAGAGTCTCGACGCTCACGGGGTGCTTCACGGACGGCGTCAATGGGTCTGCCGTCGCGACCTCAAACGTGGTGTGGAGCACAGGCAGAGCGTAAATCGGCGACTCGAACTTGTACTTGATGGCGGGGATCGCTGTCATTGTGCTGGACGCTAGTGAGGCGACCGAGTTCCTGCCGATGCAGCCTCCAGTGGACTCGACAACGTTGATATTGGCGAAGCACAGCCAAGCCAGCCACATATTTAACACTCCTCGTGGTCGAACGGTTGGGCGACCGAGGCATGCCCCTGGGGGTCTCTCCTGTTCGACTTTGGCGAATCCAATGAAACAACGCTGCGCACACGTCGAATGACGTGTGGGAAGGTATGTGAACTGCTTTATCTTCGCCGTTTGCTGACTGCTAATACGTTTCAGGGCAAAGTCAACAAGGTTAAAATGAAAGCTACCTGCGCGCATGCCGACGTCATCCTGCACTTTTGCGGTCTAGTCAAAATACCTCGCTCCGTGAACAATATTCATTGTTGTCCTGGAATCGTCTAGCCCATCGTCTACACTTTGCCTACGTCCTGTGCCCTCTCCGCTCGTGCTGACACGGCTCTCGTCATGATCGAAAGGCATGGTTGTGTGCAGTCGGACCACGATCCCACGGCTCAGCAAAACCCACTGGGAAACCTCGATTTCATAGCGGGAAGAAATGGCATAAGACATGGATGAGACGATGCACTGACCGCCACCTGTCGTCATCTACGCACGGAGCCGCGTATTCCGCCCGCGCGACGGAGGCCAGGTCGGAGTTGGCACGTCGAAACACATGGACCAATCACACCCGTCGAAGGGGATCCATTGGTCAACTTATTAAAATACCCTTCATTTAGTATGAAGGCTATAGTTTCAAATAAATTTTGCCAACCGTCACGATCCACACCACCCTTCCTTGGACAGTTCGAAGCGCCCCCCGCCGCAACGATGCTGCCGTCGTTCAAGCTACACATGCATCACGCCATCTTGGATCGCCTGGCAAAGGTGGGCAAGTACGACGGCACGCACCCGTCGTTGACGTGCGGCACGTCCAGTGGAAAAGTTTTCCTCCACACTCCGCACGACAAGAACGAAGACGACGCGGTCCAGGCCGTGCGATTCCTCAACATCAATCGCGAGGTGTCGGCGCTGTGCGTGGGCAAATTCCGTGACCAGGACGCTGGTGACACCCTCGTCGTCGGCACGCACACCAACATCCTTGGGTACAACGTCGAGAAGAACTCGGATACGTTCTACAAGGATGTTCCCGACGGCGTCAACACGATGCTGTTTGGTACACTCCCCAACATTCCGTCGCGAATGGTCATGGTCGGCGGTAATTGCTCGATTCAGGTCGGATCATGACGCGTTCGATGCTAGTCGTCACACGGTCATCGTAGGGCTTTGACCGCGAAGGCAACGAAACATTCTGGACCGTCACTGGGGACAACGTGACTGCGCTCGCGCTGTGCGACGTGTCTGGTATGTGTCGATGCATTCAAACAACGCTATATCGTCGACATGCGGCGCAGGTCGCGGCAACGAAGAACTCGTTGTCGGGTCAGACGACTTTGAAATCCGAGCATTCCACGCGGAAGATGTCGTGTGCGAATGCAGCGAAACGGGTCGCATTGTCGACTTGGCGACGATTCAAAAGCACTTGTTTGGGTATGCGCTCGAAAACGGCACGGTCGGCGTGTACAAGAACAGCCATCGCGTATGGCGAGTCAAGTCCAAGAACATTCCGACGTCAATCACAGCATTCGACATCAATGGAGACGGCGAGCTCGAGGTTGGTCCCTTGCCCGTCCACGTTCTTGTGGCACTTCCCACGTGCATGGTTCTTGAAGTGATAGCTCGTGTGCGGCGGCGGGGTGGTTTCGCCGGCCTTGGCGACACCAGCGCTGCATGGGATTGTGCTGGTGTCGTTGACGATGCTCTTACCGCGGCGGGATCATGTAGATTGTCATCGGGTGGAACAACGGCAAGCTTGAAGCCCGCAGCGTTGCGAACGGCACGGCGGTGTACCGCGATCACTTTACCGCTCCAATTGCAGCTGTCCTCACGTCCGACTACCGGCTGCGGGGCAACTCGGAAGTCATTTGCTGCGCCGCCGACGGCGAAGTACGTTACGTCGATTCATTCGTGCGTCATGCATGGCGGCGTAGATCCGAGGGTACTTGTTCGAAGGCAATGCGGCGGACGGGATGACTGTCGACGGCAGCGGCGCCACGGCAGCGTCCTTGTTGGAGGACGACATCTCGGTCGAAGAAAAGGAAGTTCAAGCACTGATCAAAGCCAAGGCGGACCTCGCGAGCAAACTCAAAGCGTACGAAAACGCCAGCGCAAAAACCACTAAAGGCACCAACGTGCGCGTCGCAACGACTACCAAGTAAGCACGCAGACGCTGTGGCCGCCTCGTCGTGTGGCGTGCGATTCACGCTCTGGCGTTTGTGCAGGATTACGATCACGCCGACCACCACCATCTCGCACGAAAACATTGAGCTGACCGTGTCGACCGAAAACGACAGCGTGATCAAGGTGGTGCTTGCAACGTTGGCATGCGGTCGCCGTCATGGAACGTGTGTGTAGATGATTGTGATCTTCGACTACGACGCAGGCATCTTTGACGGCGAATCGCTCGTGATCCGACCGACCGTGCCCAGTTCCAAGGCGGCGGTACAGCTCCCGACGCTCAAGAAGAACATCGAGGCGTCGCTGCATTTTCGTGTGCTGGTGACGTGAACGAACGAGTGCCGACGCCACTTCTGACAGTCGTGGCCACGGCTCACAGGTCGGCAATCGAGGCAATGGCAACGTGTTTCACGTGTTTGAAGAATCGTTTGTGTTGCCGCGGTTCGCCGACTTTTTCCCGCTCAAGTCGGCGGCCCCCGTCCGGCCGTCCGGAATCGTCAAGTTCAAAAAGCCCGTCCGCATGCAACAGGTTCGATTGTGTGTGTCGATGACGCTGACGTCGGTGTTAGTTTGGAGCGTGGGTCAAGTCGGCCTTCTTGCAAACGGACGTGCTCAAGCTGTCCGAGTCGGACGTTGACATTTCGTTCAAAAACGTTGGGGACAACTCGTTGCTGTCCATCTCGACGACGGCCACGAGTGTACGTGAGCACGGCGACTGGCGTTGTTGACGACGCACTAGATGGAAATCCGCGTGGAAAACATGTCGGTCGCGGCCGAGCTGATCCAAGACTTGTGTCGCGCGCTGCAGGTGCGCTGGCCATCCGACTGCGACGCTCGATGAAGAGGCTCAATGCGTCCCTCAATAGATTGATGACCTCGAGTCGGTGGCGGACTTTCCCGAGCAACTGGCCGAATTTCGACAGCTCCTCGTTCGGGTACGATCGCGTCACCCGACCGACTCGTTGAAATACTCACGAGTTGCTGCATGTGTGTCGCAGGTGGACGAGTACAACAGCATCCGCCTCAAGCTCACGGGGGACATGGCAGACGACTCGAACCAACTCAAGCATCTCGTGATCCGCGCAGAAGATGCGCGCATCCTCCACGACATGTACGGCCGTGTGTCGAATTGGTGTCAACACACACGTGCAGGTCGAGCATGCGGGCGTACTACTCGGAGCTGTTTTCGCTCAACAATCAACTCTTGGGCGAGTACACGAAGCGAGCTACGAACCATCACGCGTTGTTGGATGCGCTGAAAGACGTGAACGGGATGATCCAGCTCGCGGCGCGGCTGCGCCATGGCCAGCCCAAGTCGGCCGTCATCCTGGCCTGTCGCAAAGCCATCAAAGCAAACAACATCCACGCGCTGTTTTACATTGTCAAAACGGGGCGGGAAGAGTCGAGTTAAGTCGATATGATGTCCACAACGCAGTGAATCACACTTGTCGACATTCCGCATGGGGCACCACCTACTTGCGCTTGGCTTCTTTGGCGCCGCCATGGTCGTCATCGTCGTCGTGAAAATATGCCTTGCCTTCGTCCCCCGCCGCTCCGTCCGACCCTTTCTCGTCCGCGTCCATGTCGGTGGCATCGGCGGCGCCCTTGGCCGAGCTGCTGATCTTGCGCTTGGCAGGTTGCTTGGGTTCGGCGGCCGCTCGCCGGCGCATAAACTTCATCAGGTTATAGAACGCCTGGTAATCCATCGACGCGAGGACAACGTCGAGGTAATCGCTGGCCTTTGGGTCGTGCTTGACCGCCTGCACACCGCCCATGCGTCACACGGCGTGCAGCACGCATACATGACGCACCGATCGACAGCGCTTGCCAAACTCGGCCTCCGTGACACTGTGCTTGGCGTAAAACTCTACACAGACCATCATCGGCATGACAATGGAAGGAGCAGTGGCGCATGTTCACCACACTACCCTTCATGAAGCGTTCAAAGAGGTCTTGGAACTGCATAAACAAGTCGGTGTATTCGAGCTTGTGCTCGTCATCGTCGGTGAACCGAAGCGCGTGCTTGAGGAAGAACGCCTCGAACGCCGACTGAAAGTCTGCTCCCGCGATGAACAGCATAAGCTCCCGGATCAAATCGTCCTGGATGTGCCCAATGTCCATCGCACGCAGCTCCTTTTCGCACGTGTACGAAGCCGCCGGCATCTTGGTCGGGCGTCGTCTACTCTTTCGACAGCAACGGGCAGCCGTTGAAGATATGTAACTCCTTTGATCGGGGGCAGACGCCGGGATAACATCCAAACGCACTTCCAACAGCGCCCAAAACGTACGAGTGTGCTGCATGCGGGTAGCGCGGGGGCGACCGTAGCCACGACGTCCCATGCGTGTCGAAGTACGTACCGAGCGGAACAAGCACCAAGTAGAAGGGAAGGTCCGAAAAGCGTTGGCTGGCTTCTGCAGCGTGTTTTCGAGCACGTCCACAAGAGAGTTTTGCATGGGCTCATGAGAAAGTAGCGGGAAGCATGGAGGGGTTCGAGGGCGTGGGGGGGTGTCGAGGCGCCAATTTGGCGAGTTTCGCACATGGACAGGGCAATACGACCCTTGGATGCATATGCAGTCGCATTGGAGCATCAGGTTAGTCGTCCGTGTTAATGCACGTGCTGGCGCCGATTTTACACAAAGTTGCTGACACAAGTGGACACGTGGCGGAAAAACGAGGGCGGGGGCCACCGTCGGCTTCTACTTCGCCCATCCATCGCGGACGGACCCCAAACACAAATTCGCATTCTAACGCATCGACATGTTGCCGTCAGCGACTCCGCTCCACGCCATGGCCAAGGCAAGTAGCAGCAATGACGCTATCCACCGTAGTACGGTCAAGAAAACCATTGGATGTGTCAGCGCGATTTTCGCAGCCGTCGGACTATTTGTGGCGGGCCTGTGGCTCGCCAGCCGGCGCACCTCGCCCAAGTAAAGCACGGCGCGTGAGCCCAACTCGGGCATGCTCTCCATCGTTGCATATTAGGCATAATATTATCGCCGCATTTCACTATCCTGTCCCATTGTGTCATACGCTCGTTTGACCTGCTCAACTTCATGCGAGGCATTCTACTCGGGCGACGAAAGCCTGCCGAGGACGCGCTTCACGCGATGAAAGAGATAGCTTTAGCTCCTATTTAAGTCAGTGCTCTTGGTCGTCTGTCTTCCGCTTGGCCTTTTTCGTCTTCTTCCGCCGCTGGATCCGTCGAAGGGTTGCGTCCAGGTCGGGACAGTCGGGGTTCAAGACCTCTCCATCCATCTTGATCGCTGTGTCCACCATATGAAGGCGCCATGTTTCCATGTAGCTGCTGTACTCATGAACGCTGGCTGCGATGAACACACCGCTGCGGGTGGCCACATGACGACGAGGTAGGACGTCTTCACTCGTCAATCCATCTGCTTCCGAATCCTCAGACGCATCTTGCATATGGCTAAAGAGGATGTCCTCCATGAGTTGAACAGTCGCAAGTCTCTCATCGTGCGTTAGCGGTGCTCCTTCCGCCTCCATCTCGGCCAACACGTCGACCAGCGCTTGCCCCAGCGCGCATGCTGCAATAGGCATATTGAGGCAATCCGGATATCCCTCGGGCTCGGTTGATTTTTATCCGGATTCGTCATCCAGAGGATGGCGGACCTCTACGACGACCTGGACACGTCCGTGGATGGTCGAAGCAGCGTGCACCTGAAGAAGGAGCTGCGAGTTGTGCAAGAACAATACGACAAGCTCAAGAAGGAGGCGGCACTCCTCCAGCGCTTGAACAAAGAGCTGGCAGAACAGAACGCGATCCTGGAGACCAACTTGTCGACTGTGTTCGCCACGGCCCAGACAGAGATTTCGCGAAAAGATAAAACAATCCAAGAGCTGCGCGACGAGCTGCACGAAGCAAATTCGCGTTGGCCGCACCAAGGACGCGACGCGTTCAGTCGACGAGATCGTCCCTCCCCGGGTGCATCCCATCGTGACCGCCACTAAACTCGTCCTCCCTCTTCTTCGCGACACATTGGCGTCCGCGGCCCTGGATGCACAAACGTAATAGAGTCCTAGATGCATGCAGAATGAGCGCCGATCGCAGCGTCGAGCGAGGCATCGCCATGGCGCAGGGAGGGACCGCGACGGACGGTGCTTGCTGACGTTATCCGGATCGTCCACTCACATGTTTCAAACGCGTTTTAGACGCGTCTCAGACCTATGTCAGAATCGTTTGAAACAAATCGCCCATTTCGAACGATTCCCGCGAAGGGTTGCTCGGTTCAAATTTTCCAGCACTGGGCGAGGCGCACATCGATGGCAGGGGACAGCCCGTCGTCGCCGCTTGAGGCGGCCTTCGCCGCGGCATGTGATGATCCAGCGCGTCGGGAGAAGTTCGACATGACGGAGAAGGAGCAGCAAAGTTTCCTCAAGGCTATGAAAGACCCCGAGTTCCGCACGCTCTTGAACGACTACATGCAAGAGATCTCGGACCCGGCCCACCGCGCCGAACAAGAGATGTACCTTCGCCAGCTTGAAAACGACAACAAGGTGCCAACGGACAAGCAGCTCGTCCTTCCGAAACCCGGGTTTGTTGTCAAGACAAAGTATAAACAGCGCAAGATCTTCGTCAACGTGTGCTCGTCCGAGAAGATGCAGCCACCATCCAGCACACGCGTCGCGTCGACTCCATCGACCGCTGGTGGCACGTCGTGGAATTTGCCTTATTGTGTCGGGCCGCAGCGCATGGAGCCTGACAAAGGTAGTGCACAAAGTTGTGGCAGGACGAATTGGCGATGTTCACCCTGGGCGTGCAGGGGGGCAGTCCATCGCGACCTACGACGTGTGCTACCATCCACGTACCGTATTGCAGGCCATGCAAAGCGCAGCGTTCATGAAAATGCTAATCAACACGGCGCTGGACGGTGTCGACAAAGTCTACGAGAACATAGACCCAGACCCGAGCAAAGTTGAACGAGGTAATCGGTGGATGCCGTTTGGGTGGACGCAGTCGGGACGTTTGCATATTCCAATAGATTATCACGTTCTCAAAGGCGTCTCGTATAAGTCGGGCACTCCAGTCACGATGTGCCTGACCACACCAAAGCCCACGACCGATCCGTCCCGCCCAAAGCAACCGACTCGGCGCGCTTCCCTTGAGCCGGCTGTCGTCGCGCAAGCTAAGCCCGAGTCTGCTTCACCGCCGCCCCCGACCACGGCCGAGCCACTCGGGTCGTCTCCACTCATTCAGGAACTTAGCAGCACCACGACGTCTTCGTCGTCGAATCCTCGACCGTACGTTCGGAGGAAGCTGCAGTGTCGGCTCACATGACCCCCAGGCTTCCAACCATTGCCTATCGTATTACCCATCGCGGACAGTTTGATCTGGCGGACCACATAGACAACCGTGAGGCCAAGGCATTCCGTCCGCGGGACCTCGTGGTCAAGATGGCGCTGCCCTCGCACGTACGATCTCACGTTCATGTTCGTGACTGACGGCGTGTCCATGACCAGGCTTCAGCTGCAGGCATCGATCTTGATGTGTCGTCGACCGCCGTTCGGGTGACGGCGGCAGGTTACGCGCCGTTGGCGTTCGAGTTGCCGTTTCCAGTGGTCGAAGCCAAGGGAAAAGCCAAGTTCGACAAAGCCACCAAGACGCTTGTGGTCACGTTGCCCGTCGTCGAGCCGTCTGTGTATGCCGATCGCATTGTGGGCGATTCTAACTCGGATCTGTTTAAAGCCCCGAGCATGTTCCGTCGGAAGAAATCAAAACGGGTGAAGAGCCCGCCGTCGAACAAGTCGCGGTGCCACCTCACAACGACACGATGACCGAGCATACGGCTGACAGAGTGCGCGAGCACGGCATGGCTCCATCCTCTGTGGACCACACCCGATGGGTTGCCCCGCCGCCGCCGACGGAACACGGCGAGTTTGTAGCGTATCGCGAGTTTGCCCAGATGGCCAAGCACGACAAGCCCAAGTACGTCGACAATGTGTCCGATCGCAGTGACGCTTATAGAGGGCGCACTGGACAACAGCATCGTGTACCATCGAGCACGCAGCTCGATCCACGAAACAAAGACGCATGTGTCGCATTTGGTTCACGTCGCTGACGTGGATGAAGCATCGCTGTCGACCGTAGACGACGGCACGGCCACTTTGTTTCGATTCCAAGCTGGAAAGCCCCGCGTGTGGTACGAGTATTGCGTGCACCACCGCCATGAGACCGACCAAGGCGACCCGGTCGTCGACTGGACGGTTCACGTCGCCTCGCAAAACGTGGCGATCGTGTGTCGCAAGGGTGCACCGACGTACGTCGTCTAGCCACGTGCTTTTTGTTGGCCATCATGATCGACGAGCGTGATTGCCGGTGGTGTTTTGACTCGTGAAATGAAAATGTTGGATAGGGCCGAGCCTCCGTTTCGAGTGCATCGTGTGTCTCCAACCGTGATATCCGTCCTGGTCGACGTCGCCAACGTCGACCCAGCCGCGGTCACGTCGTCCTTTACCAGCCACGGGTTTGCGTTGGCCTTTCGTCACGACGATCGAGTCAAGTTGGAACTCGCGCGATCGTTTCAAGATGCCATTGACCCAGACAAGTGTCGCGTTGACGTGGCGCAGGACAACGTGCTGGTCGTGCTGGCCGTGACCAACCCGGACGGCATCTACTTGGATGTCGAGTCCAGCCCGCCACGCGTTGCGACGGACGAGGGCGATATGGCCGCGCCAACCACGTCAAGTACCTCGCTCGTCGCTTCGACCAGCAATAACTCTTTGCAAGCGACTGCGATGGTCGACGAGCCACCGCCGCAACTCGTCCAAGTCCCTCGGTTCTCGAACGATCTCATGTACGAGCTCGATTGAGCCAACGGCGACACCCCGCTTGAATCGTTTTAAGTACAAAATCGACGTTGCCCTCGTTCGATGGCTCGTCACTCGAATATAAATAGAACTACTTAGCAACGGCGCTTGCCATCGCGTGACGACGGTCGTTGAGGGCCGATGAACTTGGAAGAGCGGCTCGCGCACTTGCAGTGGCGCAAAGTGTGCAACCAGAGTCAGATTCAGGGGGCACTGAAACAGAGCCGACAAATGGCCGAGAAAGACACGCTGTTAAACGCGACCGAGTCCAAAGACCGAACGTCGTGGGTCAAAGCTATCGTGCAGAGCGAGATGGCGCGGCCGCTCGAGGTCGGGGACGATTTGTCGAACGAATGTATCATCAGGCACGGATGTAGGTCCCGTTGACCGTCGTCGACGCCATGCAACGGGAAGCGGACGAAGAAAATCAAGCGCTGGAGCGGACGTCAGCCTTTCACGCACACAGCATTGCATCTATCCAAGCCAAGATCCGACAGCGCGAGGCGCAAGCCAGGCGGCACAAAGCGTTTCGCAAGAGCAAGCAAGCGTTGTTGGCGAATGGCCCGCCCAGCCCCGCGTCGACAGCCAAGCAGCGAAGCCCGGCGCACAACACGAATTAAGAACGACGCGTTGTTATTTGAACGTGATCAGCTCAATGTCAAACACAAGGTTTGTGTTGGGCGGCACAAGACCGGGAAACCCCTTCTTCCCGTACGCTTTGTCGGACGGGATGTATATCTTGGCCCGCTCCTTCATGCACAGCTACGACGGACACAGCAAGATCAGGCACGAGCTGCGTGGTGCCGATTGCATGGATGGCTGTGACGTACTCGTTCGATACCTTCGTCGAGCCCGGGAATCACTTGTTCGGCCCCGAGCTTAAACTTGAACGGCTTGTCTCGATCTCGCGACGAGTCGAACTTTTTGCCGTCTTGCAGCTACAAGCAAGAGCCCTCAACCTGGCCGAGCGACAACGGGCGTCACCACGTACGTAGGCTGTGTAGTGCACAACGACCGTTTGACCTTTCTGGGGGTAATTGATCCCGTCGCCGGCCACAAACACTTCGACTTGGATCTCGCCAGCTTTCTACGGCAAATACTATGGCGGGACGGGCGATTTTCGAATGGTGGCGCGGGCGGGATGTACCAGGTGGAGCGCCGAGAATTCCTTCTCCTTATGTGCCGCCGCCGCCATCCGTCCAAGACCAGCGACGCGTCGTGGGATGTGCCGTTTCGGGAGGCCGTTGAAACGCCAGTTACTCGAAGTAAAAAAGCGAAGTTTTGACCCACTTTTTCCGAGCGATGGTCGATCTTGGCAAGCTGGCGCGGGTGGACTGGGCGTCCCATGCCCGCGTCGCGCTCGCGACGTCGCAAGCAATGATTCCGTACGCCGCGATCGGTTCCAGCATTCTTTTTGCGCTAGCGCCGCTGCCCGACATCCGCCGCATTCGACGGGCCAAGCACACGTTGTCGCTGCCGTTCCTCCCATTCTTCTTCTACGCACTGCAGTCGGCCATCTTTCTCGTCTACGCGTGGGTGACGGCCAACCCTGTGCTCAAGACCACGACCTCATTGGGAGTCCTCCTCGGGACGTACTACCTCGCCGTGTACTATACGTACTCCTCCGACAAGGTAATGGAAGGCATGCTCGTCCGCGAGCGACGAACCTGCTTGACTTACCATCGAGCATGGCGCCTTGGTGTAGGTTGTTGCCCGCAAGTGGATGGCTGGCGGATTTGCCGTTGTCCTCGCGTTGATGGGAATCGCAGCGACGTGGGAAGCAGCAGACGCTGCCATGATGATTGGGTTGCCAGGTGCGCTGCATATCCTCTCGTTGGCGATGGCTGCGATGGTCCCGACCAAATGCGGTCCCCGCATAGAGCTATTTGCCCGCCCCCCTCCTTTGATTGTACCATTCAAGTTGCTTCTGTGCATCCTCAGGTAACGCTGTCATGATCTTGACGGCGGTATCCCCCTTGGCCAAAGCTGCCACGATCATCGCTAGCCAAGACGCATCGTCGCTGCCCGTTGGCATGTCGGTACGCTCTCCTCATCCCGCAAGGCATGGCGCTGTGACTAATGGAGGGACTGCAGATCATGAATGCTGTCGCCGGCGCGATTTGGACTCTCTATGGCATTCTCCTGCAGGACCGTGTGGTGACCGTGCCTAATGCAGTCAGCACCGTCGTGGGGCTCATCCAGGTATCTACCCCTCCGTGATCTTCCCGACCATGACAGCAAAACTGACATCATCGCAGATCGGATTGCTCGTTCGATACCCGTCGACGCCCAAAGCCAAGCGCATGCATGCGGTGTAGGAGGACCAGGGCGGTAGTCTCGATGGCCTCTGGAACGACCATCGCTTTGTCGTCGTTAGTATGTTCGCACCGATGGGGCAAACCGATCGATGTACCCGTGGACATGACCAGCGGAAGGACGAGCGTTTGAAAAGATGGTATCGTGTGTTTATTCAAGGTAGACCTTATAGGCCGAGGTCATCGTCCTCATTATCGGCTACGAATTCGTCCATGATGGCACACCACCACACACGGCAATCGCGGGATTACCTACTCAGGAGTGGAGTCTTTTCGTTCGTGACACCATCAATGTGTTCACTCAACGGCACGTCGTTGTACTTGTCGGGGGCAGACCCCACCTTCAAGTACAACACGGCCATGGATACCGCCAGGGTCACAGCATACAACGCCGCTACAACAGGGTGAAATGAGGTCAAGGCTTCGAGGGTGAGGCATACCTCCTTCATACACTGGCGCAGACGACGTCACGTTGAGCGACTTGATGTATTCCGGTTGGTTTTGGATCATGAGCCCAATCGAGCCGAGGAACACGATGCCGAACGCCGACAGGAGGGTGCAGCAGAGGGCGTATCCTTGCGCCGATGGCATGGTGGCGGATGCAGAGGATGTGACAATGGGCCCCTCATGGCGAGAGGAGTGGGGAATTTTAATAAATTTGGGAGAGGTACCCATACAAAGACCAAGATAAATGAAATTCGATGTCGCAGTACAAGAGCCAACTCGCACGACGACGGAGGTGGCAAGGATCCGGATTTTTATCCGGACAATCGTCAAAATAGTGCAAAGAAAGCCTGAAATTCATGGGCAAATTCCTATCTCAAACATGGCAAAGTTCAGGAGTGGCAGATGACTCCCTTCTGGAAACGTACGATGACAGTCCCATGATGACTCCGTTGGGAAATGTCCCATCCCAGTGGACTTGGGACGACATTGAAGTTGGATTTCCATCTATTTTGACTGTAGTTGATATGCCGCAAATTCCTTGCCCATGAGCCATGGCGATCACACACTGGCGGCGCATCGCCCTTGAGTACGAAGGAGCTGGCTGCTGGATGCGTGGAGCCACTGGCAGCCTTGAGGAATGTGAGTATCAAGTGCAGCAAGGGGACAGAGCCATCTCACGGAGGGAAGCCGCGTAGGTCAATCCTGGATCGCGTGATGGACAATGCTGCAGGCTCCATCGAGACACGCCTTGTCCCAGGCGACGATCACAGTCCACACCCTTGGTTTCCCGACATCATCATCCCATGGTCATTTTCCCATCTTCATTTTTGCCGGTGCGATGAATGCTAGTGGAGTCGCGCCGTTTATTCAGTCGCTCATGGATATGCTCGAGTCCGACTCGCCATGCGTGTGCTGGAACCCACTGGACAAGCGCGCATTCGACATCCTCGACACCAAGGCCTTCACGGACTCGGTGCTTCCGGTGTACTTTCGGCATGCCAAGTTTACAAGTTTCCAGCGCCAGCTGAACTACTTTGGGTTTCGAAAACAGAGTCGCCGCCACAGCGCCGTCTGCACGTACGCGCACTCTCACTACTCGATGCGCGTGCCCACGGAACTCCTTCGTATCAAGCGAAAAGTTGTGAAGCCCAAGTTGACATCCACTGCTTCTGTCGACGGGCAGTCCAAGACAGCAGCCACCGTCACCACATCCTCGGCATTGATCACGTCTGCAGCGAGATCCCCTACGAAATCGATCGGCCTGGCATATACCGAGGCATCTCTCGCGTATGCACAAGCATGGACCGACAGCGGCATGAACACGAAGTGGACAGACTTGGATATGACCCCACTTCCATTCGAGCGGGGCTCGGACATGCTCCTGGACAGCGGCGGAACAGGTGCCGTGCCGTACAGTTACCCTGTGGACGATGAGCTGGCGAATTGGGTCCTGCGGCAGTTCTGACATGGGACGTGTGCATGAGGAGGAGTGGTGGTTGCGGGGCATCCAACATGTAATTGTAGCAGTGTAGCATAGCAGAAGGAGAAGGGGTAAAGTAGATATAGCATATCATGGTTGTACCTGCTACTACGTCGTCAAGGCGACAGCGTTGAAGAGACGAGGACGGCAGGAAAGGGAAAAGGGCATGTAGATGCTTAGATGCGGTCGAGACATTCAAACTGCACGATGCTGTTGCCGCGGATCACAACCATCCCAATCTTGTTGGCCTCGGTCTGCGAGACTTCTTCGATCGTATCGTCCAATGTGATGTTCATGAACTGGTCAAAGCCCCGCAGGATACCGGACACCTTTCTGTTCCCGTTGAGCTTGATGCTCAGCGTCTTGTCCATATAGCGCTTGAGGTCCGGGCCTGTCACCTTGCTCATCTTGGTGCCGCTTCTTGTGGGTGGTTGCTGGATACGATGTCACCAGAACATGGCGTGTGCTGCTCGCAATCCCTAACCCTCCCCCTGCCATTTCAAGGGATTTCGCCTACTTTTTCAGAATTTCAACCAATCAAATGCCGCATGATTAGCAAAGTTGGTATCAAAACATGGAATTTTGTATCACAATCATGCACAATGGATTCAAGTCGTCAAAGTTTTTTCAATTCTGCACATGATTTTGTGCTACATTTGTATCAATTGGACTAGAAAAATCGACAATGTTTTGCCGAACATGAATGACGACCGCCGCAATTCCAACGGCCCCATGTCGATCCGCCGCCTCCACACGGAAGCCCGATACAGCGAAGTCGTGATCCATAACAAGACAGTATACCTGTCAGGGCAGCTAGCAGACAACCTGGACGGCGACATCCGTGCTCAGACGTTGGAAACGTTGGCGAGTATCGATGTGTTCCTCGCCGACGCTGGGACAGACAAGGCGGCACTGCTTTCAGCAACGATCTACCTCAAGGACATGGCGGATTACGCTGCTATGAATGTTGTATGGGACGCATGGGTCTTGCCTGGCGCAGCGCCAGCTCGTGCCACTGTCCAAGCGTACATGTACGATCCCCGCGTGCTGGTCGAGATCTCGGTCATTGCGGCAGCTCCCGGCACCGCATTGTCCTAAGCCCTCTCTAACACCGCGCTCGACATCAGCACCCTCGACTTGGCGGCGGATGGCCATGGCTTCGGTTTCAAAACGACACACACGCCGGAGTAGGCAGGCAATGTTCGAGCTACAAATGTTCGCTCGAATGCACCCTTTCACGACAGACGACCCTACGAGGTTTCGCTTCGAGTCGTCACCATGCCAAGCATGCGAGGGAGCCTGGCACCGACGCTAGTCGGAAGCAGCCTCGACGAAGAAGATGCTGCCGTGTGCTCGTTTGTTCGAATCCAGCAGTCTCCATGTTCGCAGGCAATGGCATCCCTTCGTGACGAGGTTACGGCTGGTGTGTCCGACGCCGCATCGCGCAGTGCTGCGGCCGGACTCCACCCTGCCGCCGTGGCGTCATGGGATCAAATGCGCATGCTGCCTGTGATGTATCTGTCGTACCTCGGAACACGCACATACATGTACGCCAACATGATTCCGATCGTCGCGGTCCTCCTGCTCTGCGGCCTCTCGGTCGACTACTTCTGGATGTCCTCCGCCATCCTTCGACATGACACTGGGATTCATGGCCCCGATCCTGCCCAACCCCTTTGTATCCAGCTGACTGCGGCCCAGTTGCCGTGCTCGCCAGCGTCGTGGAAGTCGCTGGCGCGTCCCGTTAGTCTCGTCGTAGTAGTGAGCATCGTCATGGGATGTGCTCTCGCGGGTGCTGCAGCCACTGGCCTCGCTGTGTTGATCGGCCGCGTTGACGGGTACACCCACGAGCTGATAGTCCTGGGCGGCGTCACTGGCGTTGCGAGTGGAGGTGCCGCCATGCTGTGCCCATCCTGGCGGGCTGCAGCGACGCTCGTCGTGTATGCGCTGGCGTTTTTCATGCAGAGCGTCAACTGGGTCGCGTTCGAGCTCGAGGCCGTGCACCACTTGTTCGTTGTCGACAACGGCGAGCTCCTGGCGCAGGTGCATGAACCAGTCCCGTGGCATGGCGCCGCTCAACTACTGCGTAGGCTGGAGTCGTTGTCATCCTCGTCGTCCTCTTCGAGCGCTCCACCGACCCCCGCCGCATTCTGCTGCACATTGCACAGCACGTCGCGGGTCTTTTGCACCTCTACGGCCCCTGCGCCGTCCTTGGGGGCTACATTGCGTGCCTTCACCGACGCCAAGCGATTGCAATCTTTGACGCGGTCGTCGTGACCGCGTGGGGGGTGAGTGTCGGCGCATTTTGCGTGTACCGCTTCAAGATCACTCGAGCCCTTCCCGGGCTACGTGCCCTCCATCGAATCCGCGTCATACCGAGCTTGGGGCCGCAGTCAAGCCCGACGTTGTTGGGGATCTTGGGTGGCGGTCTCACCGGCGTGGCCGCCGCCCTTGTTGCGACGCTGTGGCTGGAAAACTTGCCTCTGCGGAGTCGATCGCTTCTGGCTGTGTACACACTAGTCGCTACGGTCGTCGCGCAGTACGTCCATGGCTGGTACGCCCGGCTCACACCCACCACTGCTCATATCGAGCCCTAGGTGGACACTGCTCATCCATCGCGCGAACCAAGCCAGCGGGCGACCCCGCTCTCGTCTCACGCACGCCGTCGAGGTGCTTTTGCCCCTCGTGCTGTGCTATTACCCGTACTATTCGCTCCACAACCCGAATGAATTCGTATTCACGCGCAACACGCTTCAAGCCGACCTGCACAACAAAACCGCATCTCGAAGACGTTGCTAAGGCCACATGCGCCGCTCTCTTCTTCACCTGGCCGCAGCACCAACCTGGACATGTTGTCGCACCAAACACAGCACAAGCCACGCACGCCAGTGCCAACGCACCACGACCCTCCACATGCGTCCACCGTTGCCAAGACGGAAGCTGTGAGTTTGTCAAGCCGCCCGGTCGTTGCGAAAGCAGTGGGCGATGAAATTTGTGATGTTGACGATGCTGAGTGGAAACGTTTATGCTGGTCATTCACACAAGTCGACGAGCGTTTGCAGCATGGCTGCCGCTTTTTGGGGATGCAGGTGCTCCTTGGGTGGCTTGGACGCGTGGTGGGGCGTCACTCGGTCGACGGTCGACTTGGTCTTTGCTTTCTTGGACATGAGCGCATGCAGGAGGCGGAGGCGGCGAGGCGCTTCGCCCAGCGACCACTCGTTGGCGTTGAGCGTCTGGAGCGTTCGCTTACACAGACGGGCGCTGAGCGTGAAGAGCACGGTTGAGTCACGGTGCATTTGCAGTAAATCAATCCACAGCTCCAGGCTCATGCCGACCCCATCGACGTCTTCGTCGACTCTGACGACGGCGGTCGTTTTGGTGTCCGCCGTCCCCGGCGACGCTGTCAAGTGCAAACACACTTGGAGCAACTGGTGGAGCAACTCCAAGTGGGGACGGCTCCGGTTGCATTTTCGAATTGCTTTGTACAGCAGCCGCGGAACGCGATGCGCAAGGCACTCGATGCAGCACTCCTTGGACAGTCGCGTGCACATTTCGAGTGTGTGAACTGCCTGCAACATCTCGTGGAGTCGAGGCGACGTATTCAAGATCGCCAACGCGCGCTTGAGGCGATAACGCAGGGGTATGCTTTCCTCTTGGACGTAGCCGGCCGACTGCTGGCGCAGGGCCAACGTCGCAACGACCGCCGACGTTTGCGCTGCCTGGACGCGGTGACGCATGATTGTCATGGCTGCCGCGCAGCCAAGGCGCACCCTCATGCCTACCCGGACATCACGTGAAGCTTGTCATCAAGAGAATTCATAAACGCAATCCAAATACCTCGCCACCACTTTTGCAAAACAACCACGGGCGGAATCGTCCACACCGTCCTGACGGCGATGGGGCGTCGACCAGCTGCAGGCACGACGGCGGCATTCGCCTCGACGACACGTTCGAGTTGTTGCAGCCGCTGCGCCGCTGTAAATTTTTGCGCATGCCACCACTGTTGAATGTACAAAGCTGCTGCGTGTTGGTTCTGCACGTGGATGACGACACTTCGCCACCACTGGAGTTGCTGATACCGCCTGACAAATAGCTGCAACGTCGTGGCAGCTACACGCCTCCTTGTCGCAAGCTCCCGGCTTCGAACGTCTTCAGCATGGAGTCGGCGTTCCTTTTCGCGTTGCTGCTGCAGGTTGAGTCGTTCCAGCATGGCTGCGGCAGCCGCATTCGCCGCGCGAACTTGCTGGACCAACGCTGCCCATCGGTGTTGAATTCGAACGTGGCGTTGGTTCATTAGCACCGTGTACGCCCACGTTTGCAACGTTGCCGCGGCCGTGCGTTGTTGTTCTTGGCGCACGAGCGACACAACGTGATGCCAAAAGTCGGCCAACCGATGCACGTGACAATGTCGGCGCCACCACCGCTGGAGGCGCACACTGGCGTGCATCTGAATCTGGTCCATGAGTGCATGGACTTTGACCGCTCGAACTTGGCGCCACCAGCACTGGATCGAGCGGGTGGCCAACTCGTGGCAGCGCTGTTGCCACAGCTCAATCGTCAGCGCCTTCCACCGCTGCTTGACATCCCACACGTGTTGTGCTTGCACCCACCAGAGCTGGATGCGCGTCGCGGCAACTTCTTCCAGCATTCGAGCGTCTTCTTCAAGCTGCTTCTGTCGAACTTGCTCGTCTTGTTTCAGTTGATCTTTCACTTGGCGGGCCAGCTTCACTTGTCGACACGCGCGGAACCATCGCTGCAATATCGTCGCGGCCACCACGTCTCGGTCCCGACGCTCCCACAGCGCCATGGTGATCTCCACCCACCATTGCTTTAAGTTGACCAGGTGCTTCGTGGTCGTCCACCATTGCTGGAGCCGCGACGCCGCCGCCGCTCGCACCCGCACGTGCTCCACGACAACGTTGACAACGGCGCGCCATCTTTGAATGCGTTGACGACGTCGCCACATCGCTTGAATCATCCGTGCAGCCGTCACTTGCGTGTCGAGTTCCCACAAATCGTACGCGAGCTGAATCCACGTCTCTCGGCACCGCCACAGCTGCAAACTGCGTCGTGCCCAAGACTGAAGCACCGTCACCGCAGCATGTTTCCGTGCGGCAGCGTTGGCGATCGTTTTCTTGGCAATGTGGTGGTGCAACCATGCTCGTTGAATGGTTGTGGCAGCGTCCGCATGTTGTTCCGACACAACTGTTGCGAGCTGCGTCCACCACGTCTTGACGGCGTACACACGGGAATAGTTGCGGTACCAGCGCTGCAGCCGCATCGCCGACGCCATGCGCACTTGATTCCACAGGTCTTGGCGATGCACGTCGACCGCCGCATATACGACAGACCGCAACACCTCGATCGTGCGCACATGTCTCCACCACAACAGCACCGTGCGCACGGCGGCCTTGCGCTGAACGAGCTGATAGATCATGTTGTTCCAGTTCTGCTGGACATGGCGGACCGCACGGCAGTGGCGCCACCACGTCTGAAGCCTGAGCGTCGCCATCACGCGCGGGTGTTCCAGCGCGGCGCCCCAGGCGCGCCACAGCGGCCGCGTTGCATCGTGGCAACGGCGAACCCACGTTTGGATCGTTGTCGCCGCTTTGGTTTGGCGAATGTCGAGGCGAACGTAATACACCAACGCATACCAGAACCCTTGAACGTGGTGGCGATGGTACCAACGTTGAATGACTGTCGCCGCAGTGTGGCGCACACGATGGCCGTGAAACACCAGCGCGCGCCACAGAGTTTGTGTTTGGTGGCGGTGGTAGTAACGGTGCCACCAGGCCTGGAGCGTGGTGGCCGCGATAGCTTCTGGTGGTGGCAGCAACGTGTGGCTGGCATGGCTCACTGGTGGGTGTCCATGCGTCAAGCGAGCAGGTGATGGCCGCAACCACCTCCTCGCAGCCGTTTGCAATACGTACACTGCATGCAGCCGTGCGGCCTTGACTTGTTTCGCCAACACCACCCGACCAAACGATTGCAGAGTGCAGATGTAGCCTAGCCGTCGACGAATGGATCGCTGGATGTACCGCGTGAGGGACGTTGAGGCCCAAAAGCGCTGCAGCACCCGAACGCTTTGGTCTCGCTTGACCGCGCGGCTTCTGCGAAATCGAGGCACCCACCAATGTTGGAGACAGAAGGCGGCGTGGATTTCGCGACTTGCGCCGAGAAGCCGCGCATGGAGATACGCGAGAAAGGTGAGGATGCACTTTTCCTCGGGGAGGTGCTCCGAGTCGAAGAGGGGAAGGAGAACGGGCACTTGACCAAGCTGTTTGACTTTGTGGTTGACAAGGGCAAAGTTGGCGCGTTCGTTGGCCAGGAGTGGCGTCATCGTGGCCATCCGTTCTGTCGTCGTGTCACTCGTCGTCCACTGAATTTCCCATTTTTCCAGGAGCTACCTCGACCACCACAGTCAAGCTTTTCACGGACGCGACGGAAGACGCCATGAAAACACCTACCCGGGGATGGTAGTAGTGGACCATCAAACACAGCGCCTTGCCGTCCGCAAACGACGCCGTATAGTTTCGAATCGGCACGTTGTAGTTGGCACACACTACGCGGCACCATTCGAGAAGATGCCATGCAATCGGTTCCCTGGTCTTGTCAATCGCAAAATGGTTGGTCCCGTCGTCTACAGCGCTTGAGCGATCGGTCGTGATCACGTCGTTCAGCCACACGCCGCCTCGTCGCCGTCGTTGCTGGATGCGCAGAATTTCCATCTCAACTTGTTCAACGTGGACCACATGCGACAGTTTAAAGTAGCTGATCAACTGTACAAGACGAAACACACCAACGTGAGCGCCCACGATGGAATGGTCGACTCGAATCCAAGGCCATCATGCACACATTCATTGCGATGTCCTACCTGCCACAACAACGCCAACGTTTTCTCGCGATGGCCATCGACAATATCTTTAGCCGACACACTCGTGGTGAGCCGCGTGACACCGCTCGACTCGACGCCCGATGCGATCGGCATGTGGTACTTGGCTTGCAAACACGTCAAAGTCACTTGCACGTTGTGCACCTTCTGCAGCCGCGACACTGCCGGGAGACGCAAATGTGGACTCAAAAGCCCTTTACACGACGGGTCAAGCGTCTCAAGCAGGCGCGCCTACGAAAAGCCCCATCATCCCCGCGACATGCAGCTTCAGGTTGTAGTGTTTACCAGCCGGACGCCGTCACGTAAATCGACGGCCAAATTCACGACCTGCATGTCCATCTCTTCCAACACGGTTTGCTGGTACTCGACGCGGTACTCGAGCTGGTCCAAGTGCCGCAGCACGTTGCCTTCTTGGGCGAGGAACTGCTGGCACATTTCAATCAGCACTTGCTTGCTTCGCTTGATGCGGCTCGACGGCCGAAACAAACACGGGAGTGCGACGTGATCGACATGGCGTCGGACGTGGGCTTGATCGAGAAAATATACGATCATCAAGCACCGGACCAAGGTCGTTGCTTGGAGTTGCGCGAGCAATTCGCTGGACGTTGCCGACGCCGCCATCACGTGCTTGAGTTTGAAGGCCGGGTCTTGCACAATGCGTTCCAAGATGGTGCGTTTTAGAAAGTGGGGAAGTTTCGGTGCGTTTGTCGATGGGCGGAGCAAGTCGCTGAGCGACTCGACAAGGCGAATTCCCAGCACGACTTCGAGTGCAAGCGTGAGCCACAACGGGTGATACGAGTTGAAAAGATCCATGAGCGTTTGCTGGAGCCCGACATCGACGTGGAGCGGTCGGTCGGATCGAATCATGAGCCGCCGGGTGTTGATCTCACTCTGCAGGCGAAAGAGCACGTGATCCGTCTGAGGATTGTGGAATGTCGCGACGGCAGCTGCGCGAATCTTGCTTTCCAAGCGCGTCACGGCGAGCTGGCGCAGTTGGGCGTACCGATCTTGGCTGAGCGGGGTTTCGTCCTTGATCTCGCTAAAGTGGGCGCCAAGCAACGTGAAATTGAGCCACTTCTGGAATCCCGCTTCTTGCTTTGAAATCCAATTTGCGTCGAACACCATGCGCCGCTTCTTCCATTCTTGATCGCTCGACGTTTGCGGAATCGACGGCTGTTTGGCGAGTTTCGGGCGCTTTACCATCGAACTCTGAGGGGCGTTTTGTGCAGACGATGACGACGACACGTTCGACGCGGTCGAAGCGGGTCGCGTTGCACCATGCAGCGCGCAAAACAGTCGGAACCGCTTGTTCAAGCGGATGTACAGCTTGCCTGCGACGCGGCCATGACTCGAAGGCGTAAAGGTCACAGTGATGGTCGTGGCAGACTGCATGGGAAGGACGATTGTTTGATGGGTGTCGACGAAGAACACGGCGGCAGCGGCCTTGGGCACGATATCCTCGAGCACGACGGTGGCAACCCCGAATTCGCTGGGATTCGACAAATGCAACTCCATCGTGAGAGACGATCCCACGGACAACATACCAAAGTCGAGGGACGGAACGTGCTGGAAGTTGTTGAGTAGAAACGTGTGATTCAGTTGTGCCTTTGACGGAGTTGTCGATCCTCCAGTACTGATGCTCGAAGTGAAACCTGGCGGTTTGCGTGGGGAATCCAGTTGGTTGTTCGGATATCGACTGGTAGATGAGTTCGGTGAGGGCGAGAAGGCTGCCGTTTGAATCGACAGATCCTGTCCAGGTTTATGCACGGGCATTGGAATTTCGTCGAGGATTGTGTGTGCTTTTCGTTTGAGGAGGTTGCTGCCGCTGCCGTTGCTGCTGGAGCTCGTGACAGGAGAGTGTGGTGAGTAGTTAAACAGGCCCGAGTCGTCCAAGTTCTCCTTGTCCTCTGTGCACACAAGAGAATTTCATGACAAGGGCAGTCTATCGTTGTACCAACCTTCAGAAGCAATCGACGAAGGTGCTTTCCGCTTGAGGCTGTTGACAGGCGTGGGAGAGTACACTAGTGCTACACATGAAGAGACTGTCATGAACCGCCCTTCCGCTTCCGACAAAGTCGGCATCATCGTCGTGGGCTTACCGTCCGCCTCGCTGCTGCCGCTATCCATGCCGCACAAAAGTATGATTGATTTGCACGATTTAAAATTTGAATTTCGAGGATTTTCCTGTCAAGTTTGAAGATGTATAAACGAATACAGGTTTTTTCGGCAATACCCGTCGGAAGTGCAATTTTTCACGAATATTTCGCCAATTTCTCCATGGCGATCGCACCATGTTTTGTCACGACACGACCCCGTTTCCGTCATTTCCATCCATTGGCTCTGCCACGGGCGCCTCCCCACCGTATCTTCAAAGGTCGCAGCGGCTTCGTCGCGGCAGCTATGAGTGTCAGCATCAAAGTGTGCATCCGATGCAGGCCATTCACGATCGACGATACGCTGGGCGTGATCATGACCCAGAAAGGCGACGAGGAAGGGGAAGTCGAGCTCATCAACTCGAGTTACTCGACAACGAGGTACGGGGTGAGGACAGCCCGTTTGACGGGCCTCACACGTACGTGTATAGATTTGCCTTCAGCTGGTCGTGGTGGAGTGCATATGGGTACAAGCGTCATGTGAAAGGCGACACGTTGCCAGCCGACAACATGCTCCTCGTTGACCAAACGATGGCGTACGAAGCATGCGGAAGCAAAATCAAAGCCGATCTTCTGGGCGGAAATGCTGTCGTGATGTTTGCGTACGGCCTCAGTGGGTCTGGCAAGACGTTCACCGTGTTTGGGGTACAGCATGCGCACGAACTGGATCTCACACTGTCCATGCGGATAGCCCGACGCCGTGGACATTCCGGAGGCGTGGTTCAAGCACGAGGAGCCTCATCCGATGGTACGTGGGGGGGTGGCGCACACTAGGCTAGCCACGTCGTCTCAAACGAGTCGTTGCTGTAGTGGGGCATCTTCCCGCGGTTGGCGTACGAGCTGTTCAAAGAGAAGCAGGACGGGTGGAAAATCACGATGAAGTACTTTCAGAACGTGGTCGACACTGTGCGTGACCTCATGAGCCCGATGGCGCAAGAACAGCAGTACAAAAACGGCATGCGAAAAGACCCCGACGGATTCATGGACATCGAGTGGTGCCAGGTAAGGCAGCGTCGGAGCGCCGCCGCCGCCCGTTGTCAAATGGCTTTTAGGGCGTCGTGCTCAAGGACTGGAATGACCTGCGCAAGACGTTTATGAGCGCCAACGCGCGCAAGGCCATTGCGCCGACGCAATTCAACCACCAATCCACCCGCGGCCATTGCATCATGACGTTGGAAGTAGAGAAGCCAGACCCTGAGCGCGAAGGTCCGTTCGCCACATCTCTTGATCGAATGACGGCGCCGTGGGCAGGAATGAAGCAGCGCGGACGCATCTACGTGTGTGACTTGGCCGGGACCGAGCCCGCCGGCGACGTCGTGTACGCCAATTACCAAAAGATTCAGTTTGACGATGGCACGATCGAAATGAAGTACCTGGGTCCCCATCCCGACCCTGCCAAGTCCAAGGAACTGCAGGATCAAGGGAAAAAAATCAACTTGAGCTTGACCGAGATGGCGCAGTTCTTCATGAAAATGGCAGGTGTGTGTGCATTGCGCACACGGGACTTCACTCATACGAGCGCAGAGGCCGTTCAAAAAAAGACGCTCAAGCCAGGCGCCAGCATCCCTGGCTGCAACTCGTATTTCCTCTGCAAGTACCTCAAGGACACGATGCTACAAGCGAGGTACGTGGCGGGCATGGCCAACAATGCGCCTCACTCCGTCGCAGGACGTACCTGTTTTGCGCCGTGCGCCCCGAGGTCACGTACCACAACTACACGTTTTCGACGCTCGGGTTTGCCAAGAATGCGTCGGTGATCAAGTTGCAGCCGAAGAAGGCGTCGACGGCAGCATCTCCGGCCGAGCGCAAGGTAGGTGTGTCCATGCCCAGACTGTGTTCACGCGATGGCGGCATTTTCTCGGTAGCTCATGGCCGAGCTGGACGAAATGAAAAACTTGGTCGCGATGCTCAAGGCGGAAAACGAGAAAATGGCCAAAGGAGGCGGCGGTGGCGGCGCTGCTGGCGCGGAACAAGTCGACAAACTCAGCGAATTGCTCGCGATGAAGCAAAAGCAGCTGGAAAGTACGGTCAACTCGACCTCGGTGTCTCGCTGACGAACGCGATGCCGTGGTAGACGTGCTGAACGGGGAGGACGACGGGGGCAGTGACGGCGGGACGGGCGTCAAGTCTGCCGCGAAAATGCAAGAGGAATCGATGCAGCGGCAAAAGGAAGAGTACGAGAAGCGCGGGATCTCCCTCACGTTCTTCGAGGACAAGACCACGCTGCCCTACCTGATCAACTTGGACGTCGACGCGTACCGCTCCATGCGGTTCATGTTTATTCTGTCAAAGCCGGTGCGGTCGATCGGATGTTCTAATGGGTTTGGGCTGAGTCGGTTCGAACGGTAGGCCACGGTCGTCGGGACGAAAGGCGACATCAAACCCATGTCGTTGAGCATCGTGGACGATCACTGCTCGTTTGAAAAGTCGCCGGAAGCGATCGGCGACGATGGCATTGACACGGGGAGCCACGTCACGTTGGTTGTCGGCCGTGGGGAAGTCGTGCACAACGGGAAAAAGCTCGAGAGCGGGGCCAAGGTGCCGTTGGCTGCATTCGATCGCGTCGCGATCGGGAACGAGCTCATGCTGTTTCGGTATCCGGGTACACACACGCCGTGGTCCGAGAAATCGTCTAGACAGCGACGAGAGTAGGCAGGGAAACGCCGGGGGCCGAGCCCCCCACCGCCGACGACGCAGCGAAAGAGTACCAGGAAGCGCTGCAAAGCCAGGACAAAGACGCAATGAAGGCGTTGGAAGCGCAGAAACGACAATTTGAAGCAGAGCGGGCAGCATGGGAAGAGCAAAAGGCGGCGCTCGAGCAACTCCGGTCGCAGGCCGCGACGAGCCATGCGTCCGCCGAGGAAGTCGCCGAGCAGGAAAAGAAGCTGCAGGAACTTGCCCAGCAGGTGCATCACGGCCGAGACAGACTGCAAGTCGCAATGGCTCGCTCACTGGAACGACTAGGAAAAAGAGCGACTGGCTCGGCAAGTGAACGACCAAGAGCTGCGCGATGTATTGCCCAAGATCAACGAGCTCAAGCAAATTGTCGGCGTTCTGAACCGAGACATGTTGAGCTTTGAAACAGCGCTCAAAGGCGCCGGGGGCGACGGCGAAGGTGCGAGTGTATGGACGGCTGGGAAGCGCCGGTGCGACTGATTTCCCATGCCACTCTAGGCATTCCCCAAGTCAAAGTCAAAGTCCACAACAGCCAAACGGATGAAACGATCTTACTCGACGTGTTTGAGTTTGTCAAAGCGTACGCATTGCTGAAAGACGAAGTCGCGTTTCTCAAGAACGCGATCGCCAACAACCGCGAGTACTCGAGCCCGCCCGGCCACGACCCGATCACGCTGCTCTTTGACAACTCGTTCCACGTTGGCAGCGTCACGAGCTTCCCCGAGTACTTGCTGTACAATTTGGAGACGGACCCGGACGAAAGGTGTGCACCCGAACGAAACGACGCGCCACTACTGACGACGTCACTCGTTCTTGCAGCAAAATGAACCTCAAGAACGCTGTCCCGCCGTTCAACACGATCGGGAAACTGGAAGTCGTGTGGACGCCGCTGAGCTCGGAAGACGAGACCAAGCACGACCCGAGTGGTGTCGTCGATGTCGATGGCCCGGACGATCTCGTACGTGCGGCGTCGTCGTGGAATGGGTAGCGACGCGGCGTAGGTGGGCAAGCCGTGGACGTACAAGCTCGAGATCAAGCAAGCGCTCGGGCTGCCGATGATCACGGACCTCGCGTACTGCCAATACGAATTTCTGGGCGAGATTTTCACGACCGAGAGCGTCGAGCAAAACACACGCAACCCCGTGTTCAACTACTCCCATGTCCACCACATTCCGTGCGTCACGGCCGACTTTGTCCAGTACTTGCAACGCCACCGGTTGGAGTTTCAGCTCTTTATCAACCCATACATCATGGACCCGCCCAAGGACGCCATCTCGACCGCGAACGACGCGATCGTGCGCAATTTGGGCGGCACCGTGCAAGGTACGAGCCAGCCTTCTCGTCGACGCCTTCCTTTGACGCAAACTCATCGAGACATCTCTAGTCAAGGTGCCGTATGAAGGTATCGTCCCGTTGTCTGGATGGCCCATCCGCTCGGCCTGCACTCACACCCCACTCCAGAACTAGAAGCCCAGGTGAACCTGGTTGAAGCCAGCCGCGCCAAGCTGGCGGAAGAAGTGGCGTTTTTGCGCCAAGTGTACAAAGCGGCCACGGGAACGTACGTTGTTGTGTGGCTTTTGGTCACGACCGAACGGAGGAATGGCGAGGACGATGATGCATATCGTTGTAGGGACGCGCCACCCTTCGACGGCGCTGCATCTGTCGCAATGCCTGGTCGCGACGGCGGCAAGTCGACCCCAAGAAGCAAGTTGGAAACAGCCAAGTCCCGGGATTCGCTTCTCAATGCGACGTCCACTTGAGCCGTTCGTGGGCGCTGACGAAGTCCGATGGCGCTCGACGGGGCTGCCGCCATGTATGTAAAATGGATGGAAAACGACTCGGTCGCCAGGTCTTGTTGCCTCTCGCATACACATTCACATCCTCCGCCCTCCACGTCATGGACTCGAATGTCCCTCCAGATAACACGACGGCAGTGATACGATGCACCCGCATGAACGTTTGTTGCGGGAAGGGGGAGGGGTGCTCCTCTACGGGAGGCTGTAGTTACAAACACACCCAAGAAACCTCTCGCCGTCGATTTCATGCTGGACACTACACTCCAGTTCATTCCACACACTCGCCAAGCACGGAATTGCCGACGTCTAAAGCTATGCGGTGATAGCAAGGCAAAGAAGTGCTCGTCGCTCGGATTTTAGTTAACGGTGGCGTGTCGTCGACCTACAGCGCATCCCTCGGTTGATTTTGCAGCTGGTACGCTTTGAGGTTTTCCAGTTGTTCTCTGATGCGTTGGCGCCAGTCGTAGCCTTCACTGGCCGTGGCGCGGAGTACAAGACAGGCAAGGAGGGCGGCAGCGAAGGGCGTGAGGTGCATGCGAGTCGTCGTGGCGGCGGCAACCCTTCGATGGGAATGCAACGGGTGTAACCGACAGGTAACCGCTCGTGGAGGTTTCAGTTTCGGCTTGGCCAAACTTGCACCACGAGGGATTTCACATCGCTTTTTGCTCCGAGCACATCGCAGCGCACGTTGCGACTTGCCCACGACTTTTCCATCCCCATGATGTATCGCGGTGCCTGCCTCCTTGTCCTTGTCGTCGTCGCCCTGGTAAGCGCGCAAGACACGTACGACACCGAACGAGACAACATTCAAGAGATCATTCGGCTCATTCATCAACGAAACCAACGCGGGCGGTAAACGAGCGCGGCTTCATTCTAGCATCTTGATGGATAATGGACTTGCAATCTGAGAGTTTCGCTTCATGCCACCACCACGATCGCCTCGCGTTGACTACTGTCTGGTGCACGAGTCATGGCGCCACATGCATGGGCCCAACGCAACCCCCTTGGCCCCCACGCTGCACATGCTATGCCAACCACACAATTGCCAAGTACGTTATGGCATCCATAGAGCGGTGCTAGCCACAACCGAGCCGATCTAGACAAGCCAAAACTCTTGGCGAAGAATGGCTCAGTTGTCGAAAGCTCCACCATTCTCTTGCAATCGATTCCGAATCGCCCGAGGTCAATGTGGCTGCGACGAGCGCATGGACGTCACCCACAGCGCAGTCCACGCGCACGATGTGTGGCGTGCGATGGAAAGGCACGGGTTCCACTGCCCCGGACTACATTGGCGTGAGGAACAAGACCAGCGGGCGCCGGACCTTCGTCGTTCGCGGGATAAACATGGGGCACGTCGACGCATGGACTCGACCGCACAAAATACACAATGCCTTCGCATTCCGTCGCAATC